GTGATCAATTTTTTTTTGTTTTTTTTTTAAATAGGCTAATATTTTGTATATATGTAGCATAGCATTAGCAATTACAAAACAATTCAGAAATCAATTGGCCCACCATCAGCACCATAACATGCTTTTACTCGTCTAATCATACTATTAGATAACTTGCGATAACATTTAGATGAAATCGAATACCAGGCAGCTTTAACTTTAATTTCCAAGTCCTTAATGCTTGTAGATAAGTCTGAAGAACTGCGTAAACGTGTTTCAATCTCTTGCCAAAGGTTCTCTATCGGATTAAGGTCTGGACTTTGAGCAGACCATTTTAATACAGGAATATTAGCATTTTTGAAAACATTCTTAGCTTTCCAATATTTGTGAGGAGTCACATTATCTTGCTAAAAGATACCTTATCAGGGAAAAATTCAGAACTAAAATTAGTTGTACACAAAAAAATTTTATGTGCAAAGCTAGTGATGTGCTATTTATATGATACTCATATTTTTTTAGTGTACAGTCATACAGTAGTACAGTACATATAGTAGTACAGTACGTACAGTATGTATACATAGTAGGATTTTTTTTATACCATAAGTTTGGACTATTTCATAATTGTTTCAGAATATTCAGGAACTTATAAATGTTATAGAATTTTTTTTACTGTATCTTGTCCATTAAATACTAATTGACGTATAGCGGAAATAGCATGTCTTCTTATAAGTTTAGTATAAACTTCACCATTTATAGTACTACGAATAGGAACTATGGGTTCTAACCCATGCTATGAGAAACACCCTCAGAACATAAGACCAGAACTATGTCCTACAGTAGGAACAAAACATGATTTATCAAACTCTTCAGCTGGGATACGCCAAACTCATATATTATGAATTTGATCAAATTGTACAAAAAAGGATTCATCTGATTATACTACATTTCGCCACTTATGAGTTGACCAATTCAGATGTTCTTCTGCCTAGGCTTTCTGTTCTAGTCTATTCTTAGCACTAATTAATGGCTTATAATATGCAATACATGATTTAAGACCACATTTTTTTAAAGCATGACGAATTATAGAAATAGAAACTTTTTGGTTTTTTTCTTTTTTCCATAAATCTTGTATTTCTTTAAGGCTTAATTGATGGTGTTTGGTATCTTGTGTAACTATTTTTCTAAGTTCTTCTAATGCAGATTTATTAAATATAACTTTTGGACCAGAACATTTTCTTGGCATAGTAGATTCTGTTTGAGCATATCGTTTCAAAATATCATGCATAGTGGTTTTACTGCATTTGATATTTTTGGCAATAGTTGCCAAAGAATCTCCATATTTATGGCCATAAAGAATTTCTCCATGTTGAAGATAAGATTTTTTTTTTTTGTCATTAAGCTACAAGATCTTAAAAGTTAAATTTAGGCAAATTATCTTTTTTATATATAGAAACT